GAAAGGACATGAACTATCAGCATAGAAATTAATAGGATATAGCCTCTGATGCATAAATTAGAAGGGATTTATGCAAAATGTCCATAATGCACAAGATTTTCATATCATTAAAGTTCTTTGAGTAATTTTGTTCTTAGGGAATGTAATACATATGATTACGTTTTCAAAAGTTAATTAGAAATCCTCAAATAGTAATTTGATGATAAGAGGGAGGTTGTTCTTTCTTAATGTAGTACCCTTGGATGTATTTGTGTTTATGCATATTAGGACAGAACTATCTGTGTTTCTAAAGAACAGGTTGTCTTTTCTCAATAATTTGGTTTGAATAATTCAGAGATATTTAGTTTTTGTCCTTTATGCTTAAGATTTTCAAATTCTAATGAATGGAAATCAAGGACAAGATTACGAAGATAAGCAAATATACAATTTGGATATTCTTGATTATGTATGGGGTGTCATTGTATTAATAAATTATTTATGTCTATTACGAATCTAAATATATGGTAACTGGAGTAAGGCAGAAACATAAATGAGATGAAATGATAAAAAAAGGGTTGTCAACACGAGGACTTCCCAAGCGGTCCCCCACCTTAGTACTAACCTCGCCTTAAGCCGCTTAACTTCGGAGTTCGAATGGGATCCGGTGCTTTAGGCTTAGTATGGCCGACAACGATATTTACATCTCACATCTCTATTTATAATCCTTATAATTATTATTATTATTACTAAGATAAAATTTAAATTAAGAAATAATATATAGAATTTATATTTAATCTGAGTTGTTATTTTACTTTAAAATAATGATATATTATAATTTAATTAAAATTATTGAAGAAAAAAATGTTGTTAAAATTATTTATTGATTCTTAAAGAGAAAGTGATTATGAAATTATTTAAAGATTACCATTCATAAAAAAGAGTAGAAATATATTATTAATGAGTGTATATTTTATTATTAAAATAAATCTTTAATCTTGAGTATTTTAAGATTTTTAATTGCTCTCTTGAATTAAATCATTATATTTTGAATAAATATAATGTATAAATTGATATGTATTATTTAATATAACCAACGATAATAAAGAATAAAGATAGACAAGAATCTTATTTTATAATCATAAATTTAAAATTGTAATAAAAAATTCTTATTCTAACAAAACCAGAACAAGCTTTTTCATTAATATAATATATAAATTTATAAAATATATTTCAAAAGAGTATGGAGTATTGATAAAGTCATATTAAAATGGATGATATAAGGATGGTATTACAAAAACATAAAAATTATAAAGCAATATCAATAATGGAGATTAGGGAAATTATGTAAATAAGTTTATTGACTTATAAATTGAAATTAGAATAATAGTTGAATAAATTAATACTTGTTATGTAGAATTAATAATTCATAAATTACACTAAATGTAAAACATACATAAAAAAGTAAATTTACAAGTTAACATCATAACAAGATTACTTATTAACATTAACATAGAGAACGAGAAATGATAGATTAAAACTTTATTTAAAGGTCAAATGAATGAAAGTGTGAACTTGAAAAATGCAAGGATTGCAATTTACAAAGAGATGACTGTTTACTTAATTAGTTAAAATAATGTCGTTTTTAGATTATGTTATAATTATTAGACATTATGGGACTTTTATATTATTAATTAAAAGTATTCCTAATGGAATAATTTAGATAAACAAGTATTTCAAATCAAATAAGGATTAAATTTGATCATTAGATGATTAAGAAATCTCATTAATTATATATATCAGTTGTAAATCAAACTTATTAATTTAATTATAAATAATAAATAATTTTTAC